CTAAGTGTTTCTTCCCTCTAAGTGTTCCTAGTCTTGCTAAGTGTTTCTTCCCTCTAAGTGTTCCTAGTCTTGCTAAGTGTTTCTTCCCTCTAAGGGTTCCTAGTGTTGCTAAGTGTTTCTTCCCTCTTGTTCGCACCCTTGCAGGATCTTGCAGGAGGAAACACTTAGCTTCAACCTTCCGAGCGTCCAAGTGGACGGCTGGCCGCTACTTTCGAGCTCCAGCCTGGGCCTAAGATGCCTGGGGATCGAACAACTAGGTCTGGCACTAGGTCTGGCACTCTGTCCACTGGGAGAGAGTTCCTAAGGCTTCTTGTTACTAGTAGCGATGCACTTGTTCCTAGTAGCGAATATTGTTACTACTAGTAAGGCACCTGTTACTAGTAGCGTGGCACTTGTTTCTACTAGCTTCTTGTTACTAATTTCAACACACACACACACACATTAAAGTCAAAACTCACAGCAGGACCCTGATGCTCGACTTGGCAACACTCGAACCCGCGGCGACTGAACTCACTCCGAGGTATCGGGATACGCGTCCTTGCCAACGCACGCACTCATCCCAACGGCATGTGGCCGATTGTCCTGGCACAGCTTGCCCCACCAAACTGTGCTGCGGCAGTAAAACCAACAACATCTGAAACCTGGCCCACCCAGTAGATAAAATGATTCTGGAACATAAGATGACACTCCATGATAATCCATGACAATCCGACCAAGTACAAAAAGTTGTGCTGGCCAAATGGCTCCGTTTCTTGGTGGCACCATTGGTCTTTCATTCGGGTTTGTGCAATGGTCCAGCGCAAAATCCAAAAAAACACTAACATGTTTTCAGCACACGACCTGCATTCCTTCTCCATCATCACAAAGGTCCAGGCGGTTCTGGCTGTCTGCTTACGCCTCTCTTAGTGTGTTCATCCGGAAGGTTAGTTCTCACCTCCATCGTCCGTCGTGTTTAGTCGTCCTCACCATCTGGAAACTCCAAGGTATAATTGTCGATGGCGATGAAGAACTTGGGAAACCTGGGCAGCGCAGGCAGCACAAACGAAGCTGCTGCCCCTTAGCCTCCAAGGTTTAACTTATATACTATGATTCTGGGAGACCTCCTCCAGGTCTTGATCGCTTGCTAATCTGCTTTAAAAAAAAAAAAAAACTAATTCAGTGGTGTTTAAAAAAAAAAAAAAAACAATCTGCAAATGAATCACCAAAAGCCTCTAGCTTCCCTGGATAGAAAGTGCCAAGTCAAGGTTGGAGTCGCTACTAGGTTGGAGGCCATCGCTATTAGGTTCCTTTTTTGCTATTAGGTTGGAGGCCATTGCTACTAGTGGCCGGACTCCCGTGCCAGGTCAAGACTCTTTTTTACTCTTGAAGTTCTAGAGTCCACAGGTGGGACATACTAGTCTAGTCATCTGCCGTGTCTTCGACTGTCGGCAAACCTGGGCAAGGTGAGAAACGGAGCGGTCTTTCTGTGTAAAAACTCTCAATGTGCCCCCCAAGTTGCTAGAGATTCCAGTTGCTCCCCTATAGAATAGAAAAGCTTTCTTCGTTCACCTCATTGCTGGCAGCCAAACTCTAACATCTTGAGGCCCGAGATCCAGACTTTGCCTCCGTTGCTTCCTGGATCTAAGTACTCCGACTACGACTACTACGGCATTTGCCTCAGCCCCGGAGCTTGTCCAGCAGCTGAAACAGTTCGCGCGCACGTTCGCGCGGGGCATCACACGCGAGATCAGCGCCGATCCGAGTGTTCACCTCAAAGATGCAAATCCTCCCATCTGGTCGTTGCCTGGGCATGTGAGCATATGTGAGCTGGGCCAAATACGTATGATTAAACCCCTATGTCGTATAACTTTCTTATGCCCAAGTTCCATATGACAAGGCCTTTACTTAGTTCATCTTGGGAGGTGTTTGGCCTTGCTCATGTGGACCGGCAACGAATGGGCAGTTGCCTCTGTTTGAACGGATAGCTAGGGTGACAAAGGCAGCGGGCTTTACAGAAAGAGTTATGATGTGGCCGGGCATGGCTGGGATGTGAACTTCAACCAGGCAAGTCACTGGATTTGCCGCCAGCAAGCCCACAAAAATGAATTGTATAATTGGCTTGCTCCATCTCGCTTCCCACTCCAGTACTTCTTTCAAACCCTAGTACAGTAATCTAATGGTTCTTAAATCCTCAGCGGTCTTCCGATCACCAACCCAGGATATGATATACTTGCAAATTGAGATGCAGGAATCTGATTCATGATTGCTGGGTGTTGGGGCAAATGCCCCAGTGAAATGGTGGCAAGATGTTGCAACCCAATGTCCACAACGTAGAGAATCCCACGGCTGGACCCCAAAACCAGTGGCCCACGTCTTCCTGTGATATCTGTGGGGTCCACCCTCAATGCAGGTCAGTGGCTTGTAATTGAAATTCACGATTCCATCATACTCCGCCAAGAAGCGAGCCATCACCTTTCAGTGGCCGAAGAAGGACCCCTGAAACTCTGCAAATCTATGTAGAACCACTTTTGGGGGGGCAAAAGTAGAAAGATCAGAAAAGTCTTAAGAACTCATCGACATCAGCGTTTCCTGCCACCCATAGAGAGTGTTTGGCTCTGTTTGTTGGGGGCCGATTCGAACGTCCAAAAAGAGGTCTTTGAGCTCGGTGGCAGCCGTGTGCTGCACCGGCACATCGCAAAGGTGTCGATGTAACTCGGTGACCTTCGGCCAAATGTAAATGGATTTGTCCTGAGATCGCAGCAGACAGGCAATTTGGATCCATCTGGGAAAAACAATACGCAGGCTACGCAGATGGGGCCTCCAAGGAGGCAATGGTGAAATGTGAAGAAGCTATCGAAGTGCCCTCAATATCTTCGATGAATGTTGGGGATGTGCACGCTTATTAGACACTCGCTTAGACTTAATATGCGATTGTGAGGAGGAACATGAAGAAAAAATGAACGATTTAAAAGGATCTGATCAGCAAATCTGGGTGTCATAGACGTATTTCATGCCAATCACATCAACAATGCTCCCATGGAGAACCAGAAGCGACACTGAGAACTCGACGTTTCCAGGAACTAGCTCTTGCAGAACCCACTTGGCGGTCGAGAACTCTGGCGAGACTTGGTACACTTCCTCTTTGCTGTGGCAAATGTACGTGTTTTTCCCATATTCGCCTTTCGCTGGCTTCAGGACGCAGGGATAAGCGGCCATCTCAGGTGATGAGAAGTGGCAAGGAAGAAAGCTCAGCATGCCAATCTTCGCTGCATAGACTGGGAATTGCGCCTTGTTCCCCAGGCTTTGGATGATATGGACCTCGCTTGATCAGTCTGGGGCTGGAAACAACCATTTTTTTGTTTTGGCCTCCTAGTCTCGTTCTTCACTGGTCTTCAGCTGGACACAACAAAAGTATAAAAAGTCATCACATCTTCTGATCCAACAAGCTCTCAAAGGGTCTTGACATCTCTTCATATTGTGCTTCAAGTGCTTCCTAGTCGCTGGACTCGTCACGATTTTCCAGCCGGAGCTTCGGAGCTTCTCTTGCAGCTTGGCAATCCTCAAGGCCATCTTGTCACTGCAGGGGAGCAACCACGAGAGCGACTTGGCAGGGGCCACGGGCACAGGAGTAGATCCATCCCAAATGAGACTGTTGCGCGCGGACACCCGCAGAAGCCGGGCCTCAGGAGCCAAAGCTGGGGAAGTTTATCACGACCTTAGGACCACCTCGGGAGCCTCTGTAGAGATTGCGCTGTGAGTCTACAACTGCTTGATTCTCGCACGACGTGCATGAGAAGCAAAGACTACAGTAGCGTCCGACTAGCATGCTTAGGTGTGAGGCCGTGACTTTCTTGTCAAGCTTTCGTGTCTTTGATTTGAAATCCCTGCCAAGGTCCGAGTCTTGCACCAAACCTTTTCAGGGAAACATCCAAAACATGTCCAAAACATCTGCTCACGCATCTGCCCGGGTTGCATGGTGGTCCCATCCTTTGGGAGGCACCCATTGGAAACGTTTGAGCTCTTGGTTTCCCAGAAAGCCACAGGAGCGATTGTTGATGTCGTCCTCGCTGCAGTTGGAAGCTGACGATGCATTGGATGCCAAAGAGACTACCGAGAGTCGGTGACTGTGACAAAACTCCAGAACATCCAGTTCGCCACCTTTGAAGCATGAGGCGTTTTGCCCCATCTCCCTGCGCGAGGTCGCACCTGCACCCTCCTTCCAAAAAAAACCACGGAACACCGCAGGCCGGCGACGAGGGGAGGCACTGGGGAAGGCCTTTGAAAGAATTGAACGGCTTGAGCCAATCTTTTGGCACACACAGTTTTCAGAAACTGTTCATGTTTCGCCTCCACTGACACCCTGTGGCCCCCATGTTTCAGCCAAATCGCTGTTGCTGGGTGTGACCCCAAGTTTCTGAGTGTATTTTTTGTTAAAGCGAATCACACAGGCGCCAAAAGCTCTCGCGTGTTCTGCTTTCCAGGGCATTCTGGAATAAGCCCTGGTTGAGTGTGTATTAATATATGTCTACTCCTCGACAGCTCTATCATGCAACACATCGACGTCTATCGATCTAAAGGAACACATCACATCGACGTCTCTTCAGAGCCTCTGTGCAGCCGGGTAACTGTGGAATCACCTGCCAGGGCACATACTCTATGGAATGAATGATGTTTGTTGACTTCTGGGAGACGGGTCCACCATGGTGCCCATCAGGATTCCTGCCCCATCGGCAAACCTGATTCTTCACGGAAGAAACAACACCACTTAGGCATATCAAGCCATGAGGATTATTTGCACTTATTTGGGATCATGCAGGACCTTGTTCGTCAGGAGTTCCGAACCCATTTTTGTCATTGGTCGATAGCGGATTGGGCATCGAAAAATCAGGTTGACCTGGCGGTGCAGGATGTGCTCTTGCTTCAATCAAGTGTATCACGTGGAGTTGTTGTGGCCACAACACCTCATGATATCTGATCACCACGGCTACTAAGAGTTTACTAACTCAACTTCTTTTCTCCTGATCAGTGGCATGGACTCTTGGTAAGTCGATTGGAGCCATGGCAGTAGAAGCCAATTCATTGGGTCGGGCTCACCCACTAATCACCCCTTTTTCGAATCACCCCTTTTCCGTTGCGCTGAATCCCCCCTGGTTGCCCATGTCCGCGGCCTTTCCTGGCTGTCCAACCATGTCCAACCTGTTCTTGACCAGCCTAAAGCTGCTACCAGGGACCTTAATCATGAGTTCTTCAAAGGTTGCTGGGGTGGCTTTGCAACTATCGTCAGGCGTTCACTCGATCCAACACCTGCCTTCGCTGGCTGGTTACCTGAAGACGCAAGGCGAGGTAGGGGTGAGGGCCTCCGACATCTTCAGAACTTCATATTATGGACACGGCTCAAGACTTTTTTGCTGGGGTCTCATCTTGTTAATGGGTAACTGATGAATCTGTTCACAAAAACTAGACGACGAGTGGCCCGAAAGCATTTTTCATCACGTAGGAAGTCAGAGTGCGAGTTATCTGTTAAGTGTGTTATAAGTGTTCAGTGTGAAGTGTTAAGTCGAGTGTGTTGAGGCAGTGTGTGGGTCTCTGTGTGTGTGTATCTATGTCTGTGTGTGTATGTGTCTCTCTCTGTATGTCTTTCTGAAGCGCAGGAACACCTGTCTTCTGCAAGTTCTTCACCTCTCGAAAGTCGCCTCCGCGTAGTAAAGTTGTACTACAAAGTCGCCAGTTCTCATCTTCCAGCTCCACAGATTGCTCCGTGTACTAAAGTTCTACTACCAAGTCGCCAGTTCTCATCTTCCAGCTCCCCAGATACTCCGCGTACTCAAGTTGTACTACCAAGTCGCCAGTTCTCATCTTCCAGCTCCCCGGATACTCCGCGTACTAATGTTGTACTACCAAGTCACCAGTTCTCATCTTCCCACTCCCCAGATACTCCGCGTACTAAAGTTGTACTACCAAGTCGCCAGTTCTCATCTTCCAGCTCCCCAGCTACTCCGCGTACTACAGTTGTACTACAAAGTCGCCAGTGCTCATCTTCCAGCTCCCGAGATACTCCGCGTGCTCAAGTTGTACTACCAAGTCGCCAGTTCTCATCTTCCCACTCCCCAGCTACTCCGCGTACTAAAGTTGTACTACCAAGTCGCCAGTTCTCATCTTCCAGCTCCCCAGCTACTCCGCGTACTAAAGTTGTACTACAAAGTCGCCAGTTCTCAGTTCTCAGCTTCCAGCTCCACAGCTACTCCGCGTACTAAAGTTGTACTAGAAACTCACCAGTTCTCAGCTTCCAGCTCCACAGATTGCTCCGCGTACTAAAGTTGTACTAGAAAGTCGCCAGTTCTC